TTTCGACTATACTACCTTGGATGCTAATGTTTTCAATGCCGCCTGGCTGTCAACGAATATAGAGACATTCCCCGACAGAGACTTGTTATCACGTATGAGACAAGCCACTTTCTCTTTGGCAAAGATCGATATGATTGCATTATTTAAAGGTTCTTTGGATTAAAGACTCGGTCTGGATGGAAATACCCCCGTTTACCGACAGCAGACCACCGTCCCAATGGAATCTTATCGGGTTAGTAAATGTATGGGAATATTAAAACTAAAATCCTAGGATGACATGAGATAATCAGTTTCGACATTTATGTCGGCCTTGATTCCATTACACTGTCCACTCGTAATTACCTTCACGACCGCTGCGTGCCCGAAGTTGGTCTGCTTCCACTATTTTGCATCCCTCAATGTAAGTGCCCCTTTTGCGACTGCCACTGTTATGAATACTTGTGGTGGCTTCCAGTTCTTGTTCAGCCCTTCTTATGGTATACTTCCTACGGCGCCTAATAAACCGAGGCTTACGGGTCTCTGCACCCTTGCAATTATTCTTTGATTTCTACTTTTATCCAGTGCTTCCCAGCAGACTAGCGCTCCATTGGTTAACATTGGTCAGATGGCAGTAGTGTACATACCGTGAATGATATGCAGTTTTTTCCCGAAAGCCCTTTTATAGGGCTAGTCGTTTCTTTGCTCTTTCCTGAGTACTTCGTCTCGGAGGAAAAGTTAAGACTACATAGTTCCGTCTAGCTTTGTTAAGAGAAATTCCGGAATTTTTGTTTTCTTTGTTAACAAGACAAATTCGGTTTTAGAAGGTTAACTCCTAGCCTATTTTATTTTCCCCATTTTGAAACACTACCCAGTTCCGATTAAATCAGCTCATTAATTGTCGACAAGAATTTGACAGAAATTAGTACAGGCAAGTCATCAGCGTGGGCAACTATTCACTGAGTTGATCGATAATATTTTTCCAATTATTTGCAACTGTAGAGCTTTTGTGAGTTTTGGTAGTTTTAGCAAACTGCTTTTTAAACCAGTACTCTATCAAGAGGGATTTAAAGGGACCACAATAACTGACAAAGGCCAGGACTTGAGGTATATGTGACAAAACTTTCCAGCCAAGCTCGATTGCATTTCGTTTCACCAACTATAATCACGGAAACTTCTAATTTCTGTATAATCCAAATATCTAGCTTTTATGGCGCTCTTCTGGATATGAAGAAGGCTTACCTCAATCATTGCATTCCTCTGTTACCATTGGTGTTTGCCACAAGATGTTAACCGCTGTGCTCAGCCTTCCTCATAAAGGTATCACACATTTCAGGTACGGACTCTCAAGTATTTAATAGTCTTTGCAACATCGGTACGGAGTATCTCATCACAGTGGACAATTCTTAGGACAAAACATAGCCCATACCAATTAATTTCTTATAGCTTTATCTACTTTTGTTTACACTGAGTTATGTCTTCGCTCACATTGATCTTTAACTGTTACCCAAGGAATACATCCCCAAACGAAATAATCAAAATAACGAAGTTGATTAATACACCGTGCGGCAGTAAATTTTACACACAACAAAATGAATATATTTTCAAAACTATGGGTAAATTATTCTAACACTGCATATTTAGTTTTTCTCACTGACGTCAGGATTTTTTTAAAAGGACTTCGAAATTAAAAAAATATGATTATTTTAAAAAAATATTTAAAAAATTCAGTGCAATGTAGGATAACAATAAGGATATGATGTATGTAAAAGAAAAAATTCTGTAGAATTTAACAGAATACATTTTTTTGTGCATAGTGACGAATGGGTATGGAAAATGTCCTTTACAAATTTTGTCCTTAAATATACTTGAAAATTTGCAATATTTATTTTTGAAAAAATTATTGTTTAAGGACTAATATACACACGACCTCATCAACGAATTACCTCCTGCAACCTTTTTTACCTTAAAAAGATAAAAATTATAAAAAAAAACTCATTTTCAATACCTATTCGTCTTTGTAAACTGAAAAACTTTATTGTTTCTAAATTTTACAGAATTTTCTCTTTCATTTGGTACCCATACTGTACATACATACATTGCACTGATTTTTAAAATAACTTTTTAAATTAATAATTTATTTAAAATTTCAAAGTAATTTGTTCTGAAAAAATGAGAAAAATTAAAAACGCAGTTTTACTATATTTGGCCCATAGTTTCGTGAGTATATCGA